TGTCCTGATGTCAATTAAACCACACTGAGAAGCTGCTGGAGAAGAGCGAGAAACAATTGAAATTGCGTCAGTTGGGGAATTTGTTTGCTAGTTTGTGACTAAACCGACCCTATCGCGAAATCTCACAGTCACTGAGAGCTGCCCTGCGAGGTGAGGACTCCAGAGCAGCTCCTGGGCTGCCAAACTCGGGGTGGTGGGTGCTCCCTGCCCACAGTGAGCCACGGCTGGGACAGGGCTGAGCCCCCACATCAGGGTCTTGTCTCTGGGGGGGCTGCAATGACCACCTGATTAATTAAACGTGGCACGTTGAAGGGGGAGGGGGGAATAAACCCCAAAAGTCACAGTTTTACAGCTGGGTTTAGTGAGGCTTTTGCTGCCGTGGGGTTGGTTTGAGTGTCTGCTGCGGGGTTGGGCTGGTTTGTCATTTTTGTTGCTTCTGCAGTGGTTTTGTTCGGGTTTTTTTCAGCCCCATGTTGCTGACAGAGTTGCTTCTCAGAAAGGGAATTGAGCAAATCGTGGTGCAAAGAGGCAAATGATGATATAAAAAGGACTTTAATTTGTTTCAGTTGAGTGGAATGAACAGTGATTTTGGGGGGAGTTGGAGTAAACCAGCTGGAAACCACGGTGGGCTTGGGAGGGATTGAACCTGGGCAGGAGCTCGGGCTGCCCCAAGTGAGCTCCTGCAACGTGAACATTTGGGGGTCTTTTTAAGGGAATTTGTTGAAGTTGCACAATCGACATTGTGAGGCAGAAATTAAAGTTCTCACAGACACATTCTCACAGAGTCGCCCTCACAGAACTGCCCTCACAGAACTGTCCTCACAGAACTGCCCTCACAGAACTGTCCTCACAGAACTGCCCTCACAGAACTGCCCTCACAGAACTGTGCTGCAATCGGCTTAAATATTGCAGAAAGATTTTTTATATTCGAATGTTCCCTTGAGCAAAGTTAAAACTCATACAAGTTATCTGTTGAGACCAAAACTGTTTTATTAATTGCTAAGAGAGGCAAAGAGAAAGAGGAAAAAATAAGAAAAGGGTAGAAAATGCTAAGATTAATTTTTAGAAGCAAAGAAAAAAGATTACCACCAAGAACTACCTATTCGTCTGAGTTGCCTTGTGGATTGGGGGGGGGAGGGAGAGAAAGGAACAGTTTTCACCTTTCTTTTTCTCT